GGTACTTTTCCGTTAGCCGGGCGCATTTTTGTATAAATGTATAAACTTATATATTTTGATATACAGTTATATAAATATGGTATTATGTGCAACACAGGCAAATGAACATTTCGAAGTGTTGTTTCGAACACTTCGAAATGTTAGTGCAAATGAAACATTCAGTTATGGATTTTTCAGTAAAAACATTTGTTTATTTAAAATAAAAGTAGATTTTTATCATTTCGATTAATTTCAATTGGGAATATTAGATTAGGAATCAAAAACTTGCACAACTCAATGATAACTACATACATAAACAAAGGATAGAGCAAATGTACATTCTTTGGTTTTTAATTAATCAAACTTAATTTAGGCAGGTTAGGTTAGGTTAGGCTTTGACAGTTAGGTTTTCCGGGTAGGAAAACCTAACTGCTAATAGAAATATTTGATTTAAAAAAATATCCAATATCAATGCAAAGAGTTTTCATATATGATGATGTCTTCATTTATAATCGTGTGGTGAAACGTTAAATTTTTTTTTCTAGCAATTCGCATGAAAATTTATGAATCAAAATTTATGATTGAATTTAGAAATATTTGATAATCTAATATATGATGAATTTCGTTAGAATTTTTCCTTGATTAAAGATAATGCAGATTAAGAACTCATAAATACATGCAACTATATCCAAAACCCTATCCACTTATTAACTGCAAGTAACAATTTCATAACACCTTATCATACACCACACTTGTACATATCATCACAAAAAAACAATCAAATTCAATAACATTTGCAAACACATCCTTCTTCATCTGTAAATATTTCTAAATAACACTTTCTTTACATTTATTTTATTTGTATTTTCATTTACTTTATTTGTATTTTCAGAAATGGTGCAAACATCCCGTTGGATGAAGCACTTTCTTTCAAATAAAATTATTATTATTCTATCCCATAAGAACTCATAAAAAACCTCATATAGGAACCCAAAACGGTTTTGGTGTTCTTAATCTACAGGTGATCCATTTCAAGTTTAGTTTTGCAAAAAAACAGTTAGGTTTTCCTACCCGGAAAACCTAACAGTTATAACCTAACCTAACCTAACCTGCCTAGATTAAGTTTGATTAATTAAAAACCAAACAATGTTCATTTGCTCTATTCTTTGTTTAGAGTCTTTAATCAGGTACTATTATCATGGATGTTTTTTAAAATTTATCATGCAAATATCAAAATGAAAGTATTCTAAATAGCATTCAATCGAACATTCGAATTATTGTTTTGTTTTAAATATCACTGAGAGAAAAGTGTGCACGCCACTCGCTAACACATTTGCATTCACACTTTACACAAACATTTTTTCAATATATATTTTATATATATAAAATATTTATATAATGTATACAAAAATGCGCCCGGCTAACGGAAAAGTACCNATTAATTAAAAACCAAACAATGTTCATTTGCTCTATTCTTTGTTTAGAGTCTTTAATCAGGTACTATTATCATGGATGTTTTTTAAAATTTATCATGCAAATATCAAAATGAAAGTATTCTAAATAGCATTCAATCGAACATTCGAATTATTGTTTTGTTTTAAATATCACTGAGAGAAAAGTGTGCACGCCACTCGCTAACACATTTGCATTCACACTTTACACAAACATTTTTTCAATATATATTTTATATATATAAAATATTTATATAATGTATACAAAAATGCGCCCGGCTAACGGAAAAGTACCATCCATCCATATACCTTGCTGATATAAAAAATCTGAACCTTCTATCAATTTATCCAGACAATTTAATTCATTTTCGTTCATTTGGCTATAAATACACTTGGCTGAATTTGGAATGGGATGAGAAAATAATGAATTTATGTTATAATATATATTGGGAATATGGATTGAAAATTTTTGATTATAAAATGCAAGAATTAGGCTTAGGCCTTTATATTGCCGAATCACAATTGACACATTCATGTTTTCCATGTGTTACAACAATGTACAATGGCATTCAACTTGTAATGCGTGCAACAAGATCGATCAGAACTTTTGGAAAAATTAACGTCAATTATACTAGATTTTCATTGGATACAAGATCGCTTGAATCGAGGACAGAATTGAAAATCCATTATAATTATTCATGTATATGTGAAGAATGTGATTTTGTATATGGTATTGATTCAATGAAAAAAATACCATCATTTGGCTTAGATTTGGTTTCAGCATTCAAATCAAACGATTTTGAAAAATTGTATGAAATTTACGAAAAAATGATATCAATTTTGAATGAAATCTATGTTGATTATTATTTGGGTTCACTTTTACCCAAAATTATTATGTTGGAAATTTATGCAAACATTCATAATGATGTTAAAGATTTATCCGTTGTCGAACTGGCCAAACAACTTGAAATCGAACTTCCAGTTGGTTATAATGAAATATTTGAAAATATCTATTTCAATCGTGATGAAAAACCACATGTTTCCGTTATGAAAGCATTGGCAAATGTTGAATTCAATGTTAAAAATTGAAAAAATATTTAATCCATTACATTTTTAAAAATCATACTTTGTTTATTCATTAAAAAAATAAAAACAGTGTTTCTTTTTTTTGAAAAAAAATTGATTTTTTTATTTACAATCAAATCAGATGAACGAAACTTTATAGTATTTTAAATTTTGAGTATGTTTTGTAAAAAAAGTGTTGTAATATTCCACAAATTTCTGGAATGTTTTAACAAGTGTCTTGATAAAACGATGCTTCTTTTCGAAGCACATTGTGTCCAAATTCCCATAATAATCGATCATATCTGAATAATGAGAAATAAAATGCGATTTTGGCGAAGCCATTTTTTCTATCATCCATTTTAAAAAGATAATATCAGTAATAATAAATTTTCTGATTTATCGTGAAATTCGATGAATTCCTTGAAGCGTCGTATAAATTTGATGAGAAAATAATTTCCGGGAATGGATTCCCGGAAAAATTTCGATGAGTCGTGAAAAAAAACTCAAATTTCTGCATGAATACAATCCAGACAATTTNATTCTATTGTAAGTTTTCTTTGCAGTATCTAAAATGAGAAAAAAAAGAGTAATTCAAATATTAATTACGACAAAAAAAAAACAAAACAAATGATTACCTGCAAACGAAATTTGGTCCAAATGTTTGTTTGAATCCAAGTAATTCAGCCACGGATAGGTTGTCGCTAGTTGTGAAAATCAGTTTTGCTGGCATTTCCAGATTGAATTTCGCAATTAAAATTCCATATTTCTATCAACAAAGAAATTAATGAGTAAAATCGAAAATAAAACAAAGCAAATATGAAATGACTAACCTGCAAAGATGTTAATTTGATGATTTGATGAACGAAACTATCGATTATCGAAACTATCGATTTATCGAAACATTCGATTTCCGTGTTCGTTTTCGAAAGCATTTTTTTTTCTTATTTTTTGTTCGTTTTTTTTCCAACAAAAAATACGAAAACAACTTCGATTTTCAATGCTTTATTGGTTTCGGGCACATGGCAACGCAACAAGGGCAACACTCGAAATCAATAAAGCTTATCCCAGACGTTGTGACATCTCGAACCTGTCAACGATGGTTCAAGCGATTCAGAGAAGGTGATTTCAGTCTTGAAGATAAACCGAGATCTGGAAGACCTCAAGAGGTTAGTAATGACGAATTATTGAAAGTTGTGGAAGAAAATCCACGAGTAACTACTGAAGAATTGGCGATAATGTTTGATTGTTCGAATTCGACAATATTCGAACATCTTAAGTCGTTGGGCAAAAAATGCAAAGCTGGTCGGTGGGTCCCACACACTTTGACGGCAAACAATCGTGCACAGCGTTTATCAATCTGCACTTCTTTGTTGCTTAAAACAAAGAAGCAAACCGTATCTTGATCGTTTGGTAACTGGGGACGAAAAATGGGTGCTTTATGATAACGTTGAAAGCTACCGACACCGAACTTCATCAAAGAAAAGTATTGCTCACTGGAATATTCGAGGTGTGATACACCAATGAATATGCTTTGAGCATGCAGATCGAACGATAACCGAGAATGAAACGAAACTATCGATTATCGAACACGTTTTTTTTTCTATCTAACTTTTTTTGTAACTTTTTTTTTATCTGTTCGAAATTCTATAAAACGAATGATAATAAAAAAATCGAACTTTTTTTTCATTTTGATCACATAACAATATTAACTGTGTGAACAAAGCGTTTTTCGAATTCATTGTTGCTTTAAACAAAGCGACGAATCGTTTCATTGACCGTAGACGAGAACTTCAAAGAAAAGTATTGCTATCTGTTTTGTTTGGATGGGATATTCGAGTTGTGATTCACTATATGAACTTCTTGAGCCTGGTCGAACTTAGTCTATTGTCGATTTTACTGGCCAAAATGGAGCAATGACGTTAAACAATGGATTTTTGACCGAGGTTTTCAACAATAAGATACAAAAACATAAAAACAACATCAACATCAAGAAATTTATGGCATCGATTTTTTATGTTTGAGTGAAAACCAAATAATTTGTTTTCGAAAAGCGAGAAATGCCGAATTTATTTCTGATTTTATATGCAGACGATTTCGGAATTGTCAATCCAATTGGATTTGCCAAAAAGGAAGACAAAAGACTTTTTGATCAAGAAAACACAAATTACACATATTTGAT